TGAAGGAGAAAATTATTTTTGACTGTTCTTGTGTGACCTTATTTGCGATCCACTTCTTACAAGAATGTAAAAATGACAGTTCACAGTCTCACAAGGTGCTTCAGATATGAAACTGCTGGTTAAAAACATAGATGCATTTTACTATTTACTTGTCATGTTTTCCTCTTACATTTATTTCTTTTAACTAGTAGTTTGCATATGACTTAGCCCTATATGTTGGGAATTTAGCTTTGAAAGAACACAGCCCCTGAAGGTTTCAACTAGCCATATTGATTAAAGCTCTCATCAAAACAAAGTCAAAGATTTGAATGATTCTCAACTCTCACGGATTCATTATTGTGTGTTCAGTGGCTATGAGCCCAATGTATTAATATATAGAAAGGTTAGCACTACCTCTGTACTGAGGCAGAGGTTAGCCATACATCACTTTTTGGAGAAGTAACTCAAGAGTACCGATTTCTTGACTTCTTTGTAGACAAAGCTCATCCATCAACTGCTTTGGTGTTGCAACTCAATTTCCTCTAAAGTAAAAAAAAAAGGAATAGTTGATCTGAGAGTATAGCTCAGTGTCAGAGCATGTACTTAGCTTGTACAAGGCCCTAGGTCCAATAGTTGTCACTAAAAATTCAATTTAAAAATGTTTTTAAAAACATCGATGCCTATGTCTGAATGTTAGTCTGAGAATCAGCTAAGATGCGTATATTCAACAGTCATTGGACAAATGGATATCTAGTAATGATTTGTTAAGGCACAGTTTTCACTTGTGTGTATTCTCTCTATAAAACGAAGTATACAGCATGTCCCCCAGAAAAGCAAGAGTTACAATGTATAAAATTCAATTTATGTGGTTGCCCTTTAAAGAGGAAGTCTGATTCTGCTCAAACCAGAAGACAACAAACATAGATAAATCCTAGAGCAATATTTCTTAGCTTTTATGTGTGTGTAAATCACCCAAGGATCTGTTGTAAGTGCACATTCTGGTTAACAGAAAGAGAGGCTGCATTTCCAGCCAACAGATGATTTATGCAATGTTTTCCACTGAGTACAGTTTGGTAAGGTTCTTGACGGCCAGAATGCAAGACAACTGAAGAAATGTAGTTTTTTAATCCATATTAAGTACTTAGTCCACATCCAAATGTTTGTTTCTCTAATACAATGTCCATTAATTTATTCATTTTATGCACAAAATATTAATTTTCTACTATGTGTCAGCTATAGGTTCTAAGTATGAGGACCTAAACAAGAAAGATGAATACTAGGTGCTCAAGATGACTTAATGTATAAAGACAATCTGGGCCAAGCTTGAACACTTGCATTCAGGCTCCACATACTGGAAGAAAAAAGCCAGCTCCAATAACTTGTTTATTTGTTTGTTTATTTGTGCCTCCACACTCACAACATGGCACTTTTGCACTCACCCAACCATGCACACGCACAAAATAAATATTAAAAAGTGATAAATGTCATGACTTTATTTAATCTTAATAACAGGTTCCTGAAGTGATTAAAATCATGATAAAAATATGCAGTTACTGTGCTTGTATATGGTCAATGAAGACTGAATTTTGGTAGTCATCTGGACAAAGAAGAAAATTTTTCATACCAAGTTGAATTAGTTACTTTTCTATTGCTGTAAAAACACCATGACCAAGGCAACTTATAGAAGAAAAAGTTTATTTATGCTTGTAGATCCAGGGTGTTAGAGACCATGACAGTGGAGTACAGGTGTAGCAAACTCCATGGTGGCAGGAGCAGATTCCTGAGGGCTCACTCATTAACTATAAGTGTGAAGTAGAGAGAGTGAACCAAGAATGACTGAGCCTTTAACATCTAAAAGCCTGTCCCAGGTGACATACTTCCTCCAGAAAGGCCATGCCTCCTAAACCTCCCAAACAGTATCATCAAATGGGGGACAGTACTCCAATGCCTGAGACTATGGGGGTTATTTCTCATAAAACCATCACAAAAGTAGAGAGAAATTGCTAAGTTCCTGCTTCAACAGTGAGATTTGTTTGTGGAAAGAAAGGGGAAACTAGCTATTGTGTCTAGAGCATAAGGCTTCAATGTGCCCACAGAGGCTGTGACTGTATGCCTGTGGCCTACACAGGATCCAAGGAGCACAAATCTCCACACATATTGGGGAGCTGGTCATGAAGTCCCAACCCTAGCTGAAGAGCTTTCAGTCAGCCATTGATGGTTGCTGGTAGAGGGAGAGTCAGTTTTCTTCAATGATGTGGCTCCTGAGAGGCTACCACCCATACTTCAGCAGTTGGCCCTACATTCTGACATCACCAAATAGATTCACTCAGTGTGAATAATGCAGCACATGAAGTTTGGAGGAAAAGGTGGCGGGTGACATAGGGGAGGAACTGTGAAGACTAGAATAGATGATGAATTTCATGAAAACACGTTAGATACATGTATGAAATCCTCAGACTATTTAAATAAAAGCTTCACTGTGAATGCCAGACAGTAATGGCTGAGAGATAAGAGAACTGAGAGGCAAAATCATATCTGGTGAGGTAGAGGAGAGGGCAGCATACACTCCAGAATCATTAGGGGAGTCTCAGAAATTGCACTTGATTAATCTGCATGGTGCCACCAAAAATCAAGTTATGCTGTTTGGATTGAATAATATGCCTAGGGGGAAAAATAAAACAAAAACCCTCCCTAAGCAAAGCATGGTGAGTGAACTGGCTAATATAAGGTGGGAGCAACTTGAAACATGAGGAAGGCCATTTTATATATCCCTTTGGTTTACACTCTAGCAAACAGAAACCCATCCCTTAAGTCAGGAAGTCTATTACAACAGTATTCTTGGCACAAACTCCCAATTGCTGCAGAATTATATCTTTCTGAGTGAGATAATTGGAAACTATTGGAGAACACATGAATTGTCACACTTATTAACTATCAGCTGCAGTTTCAAACTTTCTCATCATTCCACAGGATACTGGAAAGAAAGTGAGAGAGAAAAGATGGCAGAGAGCTAGGACAATGAAAATACCCCCTTGCCTTAAGAAAAAGCCCAGTTTAATAGGAAAAAAAGTCATTATTACTATTATTATATAAATTATAAAATATTAGCTGCCTTATTACACAATAATGATTTTCTACTCTTCTTAACATCTGTGTATCTGTCTTTTAATCATATTGTCTTATTGGGTTATATGCCAAGCTTCGCAGCTAGTGAAAGCTGTATTTGAGAAACCAGAGTCACAAAGAGACCCTGTTGCCTCAGCTATAATTCTAAAGAACCTCTCCTATTAGTGAAGAAGGCTAAGATTTCAGATCTTATATACTAGCGGATATAAATGCATTTCAATTGACTTCTGATTTTTTTCTAACAGTAAAAGGCCCTTCAAAGTAGTAGTTATTAACATGTTAGCACATTTCCAATTTACTTCTGATTTTCTGTCTCACTTTTCAAATATGTAAGTAAAGCAGTGTAGAGTACAACAGTGCTCCTAGCCTTCAACCAGAGAAAATTTGCTTGGATTTGTTAGTGTAGTGATTGTCGAGAATGGCAAGTCAGTAGCCTTCCTCCCCTGAATGTCTAATACAGCACTCAGGATTCTTTCAATTCATCCAGGATTGTGGATATGTTATACAGCAAATAGCAGAAAGATTTTCACGTGCTTACATGATGTATTGTTTCATTCTACTCTGTGCAACTCAGAGTAACCAAGTCACAGAATCCAAACTTCTATCAGACTTCTTTTTATCCCATTTTCTCACAGTCATATTGCTTCTCCTTGTTCTTTATTCACAGTAATACTTTCATTTTCTCTGGACTTTTATCTCATTTCATTCGTTCATCAAATAGTAACCTGAACATTGTCTTAGTTACTTTTCTCATCACTAACAAAAAAAACCCGAGGAAACGACTTGAAGGGAAGACTCATTTCTTTGGGCTATGGTTTGAGGGATTTAAATCCCTGCTCCTTGGTTCCATTGCTTTGGTGCTGATGATGAGGCAGAACATGATGGCAGAAGGAGAAGGGGGCTGTCCACTTTATGGTGGACAGGAAGCAGAGAAGAACTGCAGACAGCATACAGCCCCAAAGACATGCCTATCCCCAGGTCACACAATTCCTCAAGCCAGGTGCCATTTTCTAAAGTCCCCAGACCCTCCCAAAGTAGCACCACATGCTGGGGGCTAATCATTCAGTTCATGAGCCCATGGGGAACATTTGTTCTTCAAACCACACATGTTGGCTATTTAATAACATTTAAAGTTTGGGGACAAAAGGAGAGTGTTATATGAAGTTTTGTTTGCTATAAAACAAACAGCTCTTTACCTAGAGACCCATAGACACTGTTAATGACTTTGAAGCATTTTGGTGACTCCTGTTTACTTCTGCACATGCTCTGTCTTGTCTCCAGTCCTCTGCCTTCCCATGTGGCCATCTTAAGTACTGGCATGGTGATTCTATTCTATCTTTTACACTTCCTGTCTACTTCCAATGGAAGGGGGATTTTTTTTAAGAAAGAGAAAGGTGACTGGTTATAATAAAAAACAACTTCTATGGCAGATACAATAGCATTTATAGACATATCTGTGAGCTGATTCATGAAAACATTGACACACGCTATAGCTATCTACCACTGTTTGGAAATCATAGTTCCCAGTTGAATAAGAAGGAGGGCAACATAATTTCATGATGCTCTTCATTGCACATTAATATCATAAATGTAAAAATCTTATGGGAAGATAGTGTAGGGTAAAAATACTTTCAGTAATATGTTGGTTTCTATGCCTATGCCTCTAATAATTAAAGAAACCTCATTTATTTAGGGATTTAGGTGTCTGTTTCTATGTTTGCATTTTTCTGATATTCTTTTAACATTTCACTATAACAACCATGTCTTCTTTCCACTTCATTTTTAATTAAGTGTTAATGGGAAATAATCTAATTCATCGGGACACCTGTCTTATTTCAATCACTCATTTTCCATGGACCTAATGATGGTAAAGTTGGTGGTAATGTGTTTCCCAGGAGAAGAAGTGGACAGACAGCTATGCAGAGATGCAATCTTTCCCATTCCTGTGGCCTGCGATGCGCCATGCCCAAAGGACTGTGTGCTCAGTGCATGGTCCACATGGTCCTCCTGTTCACACACCTGCTCTGGGAAAACCACAGAAGGGAAACAGATCCGAGCTCGCTCCATTCTGGCCTATGCAGGTGAAGAAGGTAAGCTCTCCAACTTCTTAACTGTTTCTTCTGAAAATTGATAGCTATTTACTTTGAGTATCCTGTATAAGATGACATTCTATGAAAATGAGCTGACAGAAATCCAGTAATGAATGACATTTAATATATATCTGTATGGTTTGATTCTATTCATAATAATTAACCTTTAAAATTGTTCTTTAATAAAAAAAGAGGATGTTTTAAAGAATTTGCCTTTTTTCCATTCACCTAGTAATTCCTGTTCCTTCTACTCCAAAGTGTACAAAGTGGGGGAAACTGAGAAACAAGTTCTAAAAAACCAAATATTTCTTTTTTTTTTCTATTTTGGTAGCTCATTTTAGGCATTGACAGTCTAATGCCTCATCATATATATATATATATATATATATATATATATATATATATATATATAATATCAAAGTTATATTTTAAATTTTAGCATGACTATTGCTTGGCTGGACACTATGTGTGTTCTCTACCTTTCTTATTTTTGAGCTCAGGCTCTGAGATTCACTGGACTCAAACACGGATTCACCCTGTGGGGTGAATAAGGCATAATTGTTATAGATCACACCTCACCCGCAAGCTTTATTGCCAAGTAATACAAGGCAGTAATTGCCTCTGAGCTGTTCTCCAAATGCTAATTTGTCCTCTGTGTGACTGGGTGAGACAGTGTCAAACTATTGTTATTTCTGGAAGATAACAGAGGAGTTGGAAAACATGGGAGTCAAATTCTTTCACACTTAGGCACATTCTCTTTCAGGAATGTAGATGTGCAGCTACAGCATCCCACAGTAAATGACCCTTCTCCTTATTCACATTTAGGACTGATAGATCACAATTTCTCTTTATAGTAAACATGCACACCTATTAATCCCTGAAATTAATTGATTTTGATTGGTTTATGTCATTTTGACTTTTTATGTGTTCAGGCGTTTTAGTCATAGTATCTCATAATCTTATTTAACAATACTTGCAATTATTTTACGTAATAACTATGCAGATTATATAATTACCTTGGCTTTAATACACAAGTGCAACATATTTTATATAAATGTTACCCTTTCAGAAATTTTATTAATTCTGTGGAGCCCTCAAATATTTCCCACTATGATTGCTAAGAAAATGAAAACTTTTAGAAAAAATACAGATTTTAGAGAAAAAAAAACCATTATTTTTCTGTGTTCTCAAAAACACCTCCAGCTTGAATAGACTACCTTCAGACTTCAAACTCTATCAGCTCAGATTATGTCTTGAGCTTCATTAAAATTAGATCTGTGGTCACCCTGCTTCCTGTAAACCCATTATACTTGGCAGACATTTGTTGTGTGACTAGTAATGAGTGACTTTTCACCTCAAGTCACATAGCAAGGATTTTTGCTGTGTTTGCAAAACTGCAGCAGATCATTATGTCTATAGATGAGACACTTCACACTGAAAGGTCTTGAATGTTTTAAAGGCAGAAATTCATGGTTAGTATTTGATACATATAATCCATTTAATTTGAAAGGGTAGGACTTCAATAATTTTTAATTAAGTCTCAGGATGACTGACTTGTGATGCAGCTATTAAGCTGCATCGCAAGTCAGTCATCCTGAGAGACTACAGATATTTGTGTAGTATACTAAAGGGCATGTATCTAAACATCATTTTAAGTACAAAGCAGATTGAATATCTGTAAGTGGATGTCTTACTCTCTATCTCTGGCAATAACATTTACAAAACATAGTATAATGTGTGAGACACTTAATGGAGAACTCATCTGCAAAATAAATTTCCTTAATACCTGTTATTTGCTGGATATGAAAATAACCTTTCATCTTGTGGGAAATGAGACTGTTTTGATACTGAGCTTTAAAAAATGGTTTTTATTTTCTGAGAGAATTACATCTATAAGAAGTCTTAAATTTTGTGTTCCTATCAATGATATGATATTCTACAAAAGTAGGTATTTTATTATTCTACAAAATTTTGAGCTTGGAATGTGTCACAGATTTTTTTATGGAAACCACTGTGATAATTTTATAGGAAAATAAAAGATAAACATGATATGTAGTGTTTAGAGATGAGATTATATAATTTTGTAAAAAAAAAAAAAATCAATGTGTAGAGCAAGTGCATAGGTGTAGGAGTCTCTTTAATGTAGCGGGAAGTTACTTACATGTGCTGGCGGTTGAACCAGGCCTTTGCGCTCTACCTTTGAGCTCTATTCTCAGTTCCAGATCTTGTTTTCTGATTCTATTTTACCATAACCATAGCTGTTAGTAAACTCTGAGTCAAATGGTTGCCTTACCCCAAGGAATCTAAACAACACAACAAAAATAGAACTTTCAGAGGGAAAATTATGTTTCTTGACTTGCCAAACAGTACCTATGGCTTGAATAGATTATGTTCAGAAAAGTGGAAACATACAGTAAAATGTTAATAAATGTGGCTATACCGTGGAGGCAATGGGCCTAACGTTTAGTCATTTTTTCTGGTTATTAATGTGAATAAGGATTTAAATAGGGATGAATTAGGGCAGGGCAAGAGGTACATACAATTTAATCCTTGACTGGACTGTGATTTTTTTTATACTGATTCCAGGTCTGCTATGGCAAGATCTTGGAAAAGCCTTTATTTTGTGAATCCCCACCACCAGCACCATCCAGACATGACTGCTTCTGCTTGTGAGGCCACCTACTTCCTGTCATGGAATAATTGCTTCCAGTTAAGGAGAGTCAGTCCCATCACTGGATATTCTGTCTGCAGGATATCATGCCTTAGGGTGGGGAACTAGAGAGATGCTTCAGCAGTTTAAAGCACTTGCTGCTCCTCCAGAAGTTCACAGTTCAGCTCCTAGCATCCACATTGAGTAGTTCACAACCACCTGTAATTCCAGCTCTAGAGAGCCTGAAACTATCCATGGCTTCCCAGGCACCAACACACTCTGTGATGTGCATACACACAGGTGCACACATATAAATAAAAATAGAAATGTATTTAAAAGAAGTAAATCTTGCTTAATCTACTGACCCAAGTAATTGAGAGTAACGGAGAATTCAAAATCTCTTCTCCTTAATGTTTTACAATAACAACGTTGGCATTACTTCTAACAAACCTTGCCAGAAATGCATGCATAGAATCTCACTCTGAAAAAGTGTCAGAAAGTTGCTATATAATTGTAAAATAATGCACACCAAGTATTCAGAATTGCTCATAAAAATTAAGGAAATACAGAAGAAATATTTCCAATTAAAGGAGACCAACAATTAACAAGACACCTAAATGTGATACTTGATTCTGAATTAAATCCTTGTTTTATGAGGATTATTTGGGGATAGTTAGAAGTTTAGATGGGGCTAGGAGTACTGGATGTGTTTATGTATGGGAGAATGCCTTACTTACAGGAAATATATTCTAAATTTTTCAGTTTGATGAGCCACACTTATTAACTTCTTACAAATGGTCCATGAAAATAACTGTTAATTCTGTGATACAATTATGAAGGTAACTCAAAAGAATTTAAAAGAAAATAAAAGAATGAAAATAGATATCTTTTCTTCCCATACAATTTTAGATAACATTATACGGCATAGTGTCAACAATACACAAAAATATCTACAAAATAATTCATGCTGAAATTAGGAAACCAAACCATGATTGGAAGCACCTAGAGATAATCAAGGCATGAACATGGGAGAAAGTTGACTATAACTTTTAAGTTAAACAGGTGGAGGCAAGAGGTTGCTGAAGAGACTTCCATGGAGAAGAGTTTGCTATGCAAAGACAAGGACCACACCCAGTACTCATGTACAAAGGATCTAGGTTTTGGGGTGTGCTAGCAATCCCAGAGCTAGGGCAGCAGGGATAGAGGGATGTTTGCAGCCTACTGGCCAGCCAGAATCACCTAATCAGTAAGCCCCAGTCTCAGTAAGAGAGATTGTCACACACACAAGGTGGACAGTTCCTGAGGAACAACACCTGGTGCTGATTCCTAAATTTCACACATGCATGTACCTGCACACACATGAACACATACCCACAAACACACATATACAATACATACATGGAAAGGAACATGTGCCCTCCTTGGGGTCAGATTTTTACTTCTTGTTTTCTACTTATATAAAATCGAGAACTTACTAATTTAGCATTGTGTGATTTTTTTTAGATAAGCATCTTTATGATATTATGTAAACTAGGATTTGTCCTCAAACCTACTTTAAATTTATGTGGAAGTTCCAAAAGAAAGAAACCCTTTAATAGTTGAATCTGGCATAATATAAGTAGTGGTGTGTTGAATTTGAATAAAACATAAACATTAATGTTAGATTTTCAGTGTTTTTCATTTTGAATCCCTGTGCAGATCGTCAACAAATTTAATTTTTAAAGATAAAAATGACGTGCAAGTACCCTCACAGAGTGAAAAATGAGAAGACATTTGTTTCTGTAAAGTTCAGAATGACCTGATATAACTTCACTAGCCAAATGTCAGTGTGCTGTCGTATCTGCTGTGAGCAGAGAATAGATGCAGATTAATATAGAATTATACCAATTTTCTCAAATAATTAGAAGCCTTTGGAATCATATTTTACAGAGAAAAGCTTGGAAGAAGTAGTAGTTCTATTTCAATATGCTTGTGTTTTACAGTTTAGTGATTTTGATTATTAGAGCCGTGAAGCAGCTGTGTTTCTTAGAGGATTCAAAGACACACAGATCCAGGGTGTGTGTAGATATGAACGTCACTTGGTGTCTAAGGGGATGTTAGCACTTCCTCACCCTCCAGCTTCAGAGGATTTGAGGGGGCTACACGATAAGAATGTTCCTTCCTGTTTCTGCTAATGCTCTTTCTGATTCAGCTCTCCCAAGCACTTGTCAGGCCCTGGGCAAGGGCGTCTCACCAAGCAGAGTCTGCCATGAGAGGATCTGAGCTGCAACAGCTGGTGATGGTAGAAACATGGTGTCACCACTTCCTAACGTACACTCCATTCATTGCTTATCTTTGCAGCCTTTCACTTTCTCATGTGAACTCTACACTCTGACTGACATGTCAACATGCTAATCCCCAAGGCTGTACCTAGATGAACTGTTCTGCACTTATTTTTAATTTTGCATAGATAAAATGATCTCTTCTTTTTCATCTCAGAAACTTACTATTTAAAACTCTAGCTAGTTCATTCCAGTGCCTCCTTCTTCCAGACATTAAGTCTCCAAAACACAATGAATCATACTTCTCGTAATCATTATTAAATTTAAAAAAATTACATACCTCTCAACATAATTCTGATGTTCCACATAGAATTTTCCTCTTGAGTGTGTTTGCTCAGCCACTCTACCCCTCCTACTTACTTTCCTTACCACATCACAATATCCTTGAGTGTAGTGAACAATTTCTAATCCCTCTGATGTTCCTTGAAGTTCCCCACATAAATACTGGGATGCTGTACATCACACTCCAAATACAGGTATCCAGTTACCATATTGAATAGGGCTCTTTATACATATAAAGTTCCTCCCCCAAGACCCCTATGTCCCCACCCCCTAATCCACTCCTCTTCCATTTCTGTTTAGAAAAGGATGATACCATGAGTATCAACAAAACATGGCGTATCATGTTGCAGTAAGACTAAGCACTCCTCCATGTAATAAGACTGGGCAAGGTGACCCAGTATGAGGAATAGGGTCCCAAAAGCCAGTGAATGAGTAAAAGACAGCCCCTGTTCACACTATTAGAGTCCCCATAAGAGGACCAAGCTACACAACTGTCACTTATATGCAGAGTGCCTAGGTCAGTCCCATGCAGGCTCCCTGGTTGTCAGTTCAGTCTCTGTGAGCCCCTATGAGCCCAGGTTAGTTGATTCTGTGAGTTTCTTATGGTGTCCTTTGCCCCGCTCTGGCTCCTACAGTCCTTTCTCCCCCTCTTCTGCAGGATTCCCTGAATTCTGCCTAATGATTGGCTGTGGGTCTGCATCTGTTTCCATCAGTTACTGGATGAAACCTCTCTGATGACAATTGGACTAGGCACCAATTTGGTCACAAGAGATGGCCAGTTCAGGCTACATATCCACTATTACTAGGAGTCTTAGCTGGGGTCATGAATAGGTCTATTTTCAAACCTGTCATATCAGTTGTAAATACATCAATGCCAGAAACAGCAATTCCCTAACTCTCACCATACGTATTCTAACAAAGCTTCTGCAAGACTGATGTGTATAGGTAAAGTTATGTTCTTTTTCATATATTTTGATTGTTCTTTATATTTACAGACTATATTGTGTGGTATATGCATACATATGAGAGGGAATATGAGCTGTGCATGTACATGGAGGCCTGAAAAGGATGTCAGGTGTTCTGCATTGTTACTATTTTACACACTTGAGATAGTCTCTTACTAAGGTTGGAGATTACTAAAGCAAGCTCTAGCCATCCTCCAGTCTGTTTCTGGCCTCACGGTGCTGAAGTTACCTGATCATGCAACTACACCCAGTATTTTAAATGAATTCTGGGGCTTTGAATTCAGGTCTTTGTGTTTGCAGCAAGTACAGTTATCTATCCCTAGCCCAGTGCCTCTTGTTTTAATACAGCAGTTTCACCTAATAGCTGGAACATTTTATATGCACATAAATATTTCTTTCTTTCTTTTATTAAAAATAGATTTTTTTCTCACATAATATATCCTGATTACACTTTCTCCCAGCCTCAACTTCTCCTAGCTTATCCTCACCTCCTCTGTAAAGGTTTATTTATGTAACAGAAGTCTTTTCAGGTCCAGTAAAATCTTTCCTGTTGCTGAAACTATAAAAACATCCAAGTAATCCAAGTTTTAGTGTAAAGCCTATATTTTTACATGTAAGAGGACATAGTAAGTGTCATAGTAAGTATAAGTGTCATAGTTCACATTTTATAATTTCTCCATGACTATGGAAATACTCCCAAAGGTCCAAAATTAGGTTTTCTCATAAATAATAGATACTTTCAACATTGTATTTATCAATTTTTCTAACATAAAATTATTCCCCAAACAACACATTGATGCTGCAGTGACAGATTACACCAAAATTGCAATGTTGTAATAATTAAGACCACACTAGGGCTTATCAGTGCAAGGATCCTGCATCAGATCCAAACTGCTGATGTGGCTTTAATGTGGATTAGGGCGAGAAAATAAATAGCCTTTATGTCTATAAACTTAACAGCTATCTTGCAGTTCCTCGACATGTTATGCTGATGTTGTAGAAGTTCTTTTCTTACCCTTATCATTTTTTCCCTAAGCCAAGCAGTCAATTCAAGTGTCAAAAGCAACTCAGAGGTTTAAAATCAGTTTTAACAGGATACTTATTCTTAGAGTGAAAATGGTGTATGACAGAAATGCAGCATTTTATTAGCAATTGTAGTATTAAATGTAAAGGAACTGTTAAATAAGTGTATATAAAATCATATTTATAATTACATATATAATTGGTATGTATTTGTTAATGTGGAATATGTCTAGCACCTGGAAGAAGGAACTCTAGGTGTACTCACTTATTTCTCCCCAATACAATTAGCACGTTTTAGAATTCAGTGTATTCGAATCCTAAAAGTCCATGCAAGGGTTGCAAGGGTCATAGAGTTGTATGACAGCAGACAGATATGAAATGTGACAGGTGTCCTTACCTTCATTAAGCAGGGACACTAATAAAATGTTCAGGACAGGTCATTCTGATTTTGGAGCCACATTCAACAATGCAGAAATGATTCTAAATTGTTATTAACAAGCTGCCAATTGATTAGCTGCTGATCAGAGGGAAGTCTGAAAATATCTGTAATCTCTGGAGATCATCTCTGGTGTTGGCACTGGAATCAAATCATCAATGAAGTAAGGGATGAATTTCTCTAATCCCTGCCTTTAACAATACTGCTCTTTATTTTCACAGTTGGTTAAAACAAAAACATGATCTTCCTACATTCCTTATTAACACACTGGTCACATCGTTTCAGATGCTTGGGTTTATACATTTATTCATTTGACAGTTGTGAACACAAATTAGGACCCCACCTATGAAGTTCACACAATAGGGCTGGCACAAAAAAAAAAAATGATACCAGAGTATTAGCCTTCACATCACAGTCTACTAATTAGACATATGGCTATCTTACCATTTAACATCCCCAGCATTATCACTTTGTACCTTGAATGCATTTCTGCAATGCAGCAGCTAAGCAGAAGTCATAGCAGAGTTGCCAAAACTTGTAGTGATAGCGAGCATTGTTGTTCTGGCTGGAAACAGCAGTCCCAGATATGCAAAAAGGAAACAATCAAAATCAGCTAAAGACCATTTGAGGAAAAAATAAATACTGGTTGTTTGATTAAGACTTTTAATACATCTTCTGGTGCAACTAAAAATCCAACAGGGCTGGGGAAGTTTCTCTGTGATAGAAGACATGCCTAACATGTGCAAGTCCTAGATTCCTTCCCCCAGAACTGGAAGGAAAAGCATGTAACAGCATCAAAATCTAAAGACAGCTATTGTTATCCTGGAGAAAATTCTGTCAATTACATGGGACAGTGTTTTTGTTGTTGTATGTATAGGCTGAGGCAGGATATTTGCATGTGAGTGCAGTCTTGAGGCCTCAGATCCCTTGGACCTGGAGTTATAGGCAGGTGTGACCTGCCTGATAATGGGTACAGAGAACCAAATTGGTATCCTTTGCAAGACCAGTATATGCTCTTAATGGCTGAGCCATCTCTCTAGGTCTCGGGACAAATCTTTATAAGAAATTTCGTATTAGGCTGGTAAGATGGCTCAGTGGGCAAAGGAACTTGCCCCTAAGCCTGATGACCTGAGTTCAATCTAGGACCCACATTGTGAAAAGAGAGAACTGACTTCCACAACTTTGCATTTGATCTATACACACACACCATGGCATGTGCATGCCCTACCCAATATATACATAAATGCACACAAACAAATGTATAGATGTAATAATTTTTAATAAAAAGTGAAATATCTGATATCACCAACATCTTTATGTCACAGATGATGATGATACCATAAAAAAAACCCACAAACTTTAATGTGAATGAGTTCAAACTGACTGAAAAGATCTGGACTCTGAATAGAGAAGTTAAAAACTATCTTGTAATTTTTGCAAAAGCATAATACAGAAAAAAGCAAACATGGAATTAAGTCATAGAAAGCTGTTTCAATAAGCATACAAAAATTAGAGTTAAGCAGAAAATATTGTTTAATGACTTAATTTTAAACCATTTCTTTTTCTTTTGAACACATAAAATGACGGTGCATAGCACAGCCAATGACACCAGAGATTTGAACAAATCCATTGATTTCTCAATAATATTCTAGAAGATCCTAAATTTTTCTCCAATGTTAACATATTTGCATGTAATCACCCTAAAACCTAATACATTAAAGTAAGCATTATTTAAAACCCTGGGTTAAGACTTTCTATTTAAAAGATGGCAACTGAAAACATATTCAGATATTTTCATCCACAGTGTGAAGTTTTCTCTGGCTTGTGGTTAACAATTCCGTGGGCTTCCTTGCATTTGATGTTGGGTTTCTCTGAAGAACAATGGCTTCTCCTTAAGGTCCTAAATTGTCTTCAATATCTAGTATGTATACTGTATGCTTCATATTTTAAGCTAGATCATGAAAAAGAATAATATACCTCTTTTGTAGTATGCTGGTAGAATACTATGTGCTCAGTAAGTGGTCAGCATCGTCGTTATCAGCCCTGAAAATTCCTAGGAAGAGAGAACAATGAAATTCTTTGGCTCTCTATCTAATCTGTTATCGTTGTCCATTTCTGTAGGTGGAATCCGCTGCCCAAACAGCAGTGCCTTGCAAGAGGTGCGCAGCTGTAATGAGCATCCTTGCACTGTGTATCACTGGCAAACTGGTCCCTGGGGTCAGTGTATAGAGGACACATCAGTGTCATCCTTCAATACAACTACAACATGGAATGGGGAGGCCTCATGTTCTGTGGGCATGCAGACACGAAAAGTCATCTGTGTTCGAGTCAACGTGGGCCAAGTGGGACCCAAGAAGTAAGGCCTTTAGAATGTCAGCAGTAAATCCTGTGGTCAGCCATGCAGAAGATTGGCTTGGGCTTTGCTTGCTTCGTTAAATGGAGTCTTTTGATGCTTGTCATTCCTGTCTCCAAGAGAAGATTTGTTTGTTTTCGGTGTCAGTTGCTGATAAAGCTGTAACTATTTCTGAGTCTTGTACAGGGAACCCATAAATTCTGTAGAAACCTTTCTACCTGGCCCCCATTTTCAATTCTATTGTAGAACAGTGTGCTTTTATTAAGCTATTGAGGTAAAGAAAGGAGTCTTGCTCTAGGCTTGGCTGATCAATAATGATGGTATACAAAGTCCTAGCAGTGGAGGTCATCCATGACCTCCTGTATATCCCTGGGCTTGGAGACTGACAATCTATTTAATTGAATAGAAGCCATCTATGATCTGCCTTCCTTTTCCCCCAGAAAATACTATATCACTAGTAATAAGGCCAAACTTATATTTTTCAGTGGTAAAATGAGTAACCACCTACTTCCAGTTGAGAGCCTTGGGATAAGATGACTGCTAAGATAAAGTGAAAAACACATCAGTTTCTGATGGGTTAGGTAACAACAAGAGAAACAGTTTGCTAGTGGGAAGGACAAAAATACAGAGACGTGAGGTGTTAAGAGTATCTTGTGACTATTATAAGCAAAACCAAGTAATGTCATGGAGGAAAAACCAATTCTTAGAGAAAAATTAATGAATTTTCTAAAAAAAATATTCTTTTGAGTGGGAACATCCTATTTATTTTTTGAAACGGAATAACTTCTTTAGTCATTCAAATGTCCTTAGCCATATGGAATGTGGACAGCACAAGCAACATGTTTTACATAAGTGTAACTGTGTGTGGCCTTGTGTTTCCCAAATCATCAGCCAGGTGGCTTTGACAAAGCTAACTGAAAGCATTATATAATGAAAAATACTCTGATGTAGTCACTCAATGAACATTAGAAATGGCTGTTTTAAAAATGCAAGATATTTCTTTTGCTTTTTTCTATCAGTGACTTTAGCTCTTTGAAAATTTTGTGGTTGTATAAAAAGCACTCGGGTTACTCTCTCTTCCTCCTATATCTCTTCGTCCCATCCCTATTATGTCCCCTTCTCCCTATCTGTTCCTTTTTCAGGTGCATGATTTTTGGTTTTGTTCTATTACATTTTCCATGGGCACGAGAATAATTTATCTCACATATGGAAATATGTAAGAGTTCCATTATGTACTTTTATCTAGCTATCATTGCAGGTATTAAAGATATTTAGCTCCATAGTGTATATATAGATTTAAATTTGAAAATATATTAGAAAATATGTGCCAAAGAGATTCACATAAAGTGAGAGACCATTCTGCACACTTCATATGGTAACCTCAAACCAATATGTTAATGGGAATTACACTAAGGATGTTATTAATCTGACTCAGGAAATTAATTTGCAATATATTAAAATTCAATGGTGCTAGCAGCAGCAGGGGTAAAAGTCCCAAGTCAGGCAGAGCCTGATTCTTGCTGGGACAAGAACAGAGATAGAAGTGCTCAGTAGACCAGACAGGATGAACAATATTATATTGATTTGCAAAAGGCTTCCTCTTTCTGTTTGACGGACAATGGCCTTTCAAAGGTTTCAACTTAGAGAGACTACAAACTAAAATACTGTTCCAGAGTGAAGGGTTACATGTGAAAGGATCTCTGTGTGAAAGAGCCTAATGGATCCAGTGTCATGAGATCATTCACTAAGAAGGGTGTCCTGATGCCTCATATTAGACCACCACAGTAATCCAGCAAAAATTTACTATGCCTCTACAGCTGTTTTTCAATGATCTGGATATGCCCATAGATTTGTTGAATCATGTGGGTTTCCTTTGCCCTTAAAATTGTGGGAAATGAAACCATGTACAGTGAGTTCAAAAGAAAGTGTTATTGCCCTTCTCCCTAAATGCTAGGTTAAATTCAATGAATGCTTTCCAATACAAGTCATTTGAAACAAAAATGCAAATAGAAGCCTTGTTTTAAACTCTTCTTAATAAAATAGATTACTGAGAGATGGCAAAATCAATGTTATTGATCTTATCTATCCTCCCAAGTAACAAACTTCAACTCCTATCACATCTGTTTAATTTGACCTTGAATAAGATTGGGAGGAAGGAGGAATCAATTGTTTGATTTAAACCACAAATGCTAAATACACACAGTTCCAGGGAAAGGAAGCATGTTGGCTAAAACAATTGCCTCACCAAAGGAAGTCGGAATTCATTTTATTGGATGAATCTAGGCTGTATAATTTATCTTTGTGTGTTCACTTAATGACTTTGTTGTTAGTAATTTTGCTCTCCACAGTTAGCCCAGTATCTTGCTGTGGCTATTTCCAAACTAAAAGATTATGTAGAGGGTCAATGATAACATTGTAAATTCAATTGATTTATTTGGAGTTACATATTTGAAGAGCATGCAATTGAGTAATGGCCTCCCATTGTTAAAGTTATAAAATGCCTCAATGAAAAGAATTGCTTTCAATAATAATTACTGACCAGTAGCTCCATAATCCCAAAAGAATTCTTTACATTATATGTTGTATTTTGTCGTATTTTCAAGTTAAATTATAACTCCAGTCTTATAAAAAATCTAAATCATAAAAACACATCAATTTCTGTGATTCATACTTAAATATTTTCTGCCCAACATTTTAAAGAGTCATAATAATTAGGAAAATCCAAGTTTATCCTCAACTAAGCAAGGAGATTATTGTTATTTGACATGTTAAATATTAAATATTTTTTTTTTTTTGGTTTTTTCGAGACAGGGTTTCTCTGTGTAGCTTTGTGCCTAATATTAAATATTTTTAAAAATCAACTTCCAAATAAACCTGAGTAAAGCCTAATATTAAATATTTTTAAAAATCAACTTCCAAATAAACCTGAGTAAAGTAAGAGAATATGTATTCTATTTATAATAGAAAAGAGTATTATATTTGTGTGGGAGAAAATGCATGTAGGCAAATAATTACAGGATATGTCAAAACTGAAGTCTCAGCAAATGCTATAAAGAAATTACTGGAAACAAATAGTGTTAACTATTATTACTCACTGTTTACTTCCTTAAAGGTGACTAATATGGAACTGGGAATGAAGGCACACACCTTTAACCCCAGCACTCAGGAAGCAGAGTCAGGCAGATATCTGTGAGTTTGAGGCCAGCCTAGTCTTCATAGTGAGTCCCAGGCCAGCTAAGGCGATACAGTGCGACCCTGTCTCAAAAAATAAACAGAGAAAGAAAGAAAAAATGAAAGAAGGAAGGGAGGAAGGAAGGAAGGAAGAAAAGGATGAAGGAAGGAAAGAAGGAAGGGAGGGAGGGACTGTAGATGTAACCAACCGTCTTATTAAATAAGAAACACAGAACCAATGCAAAGAAGAAAGCCAAGAGATCAAAGCTAAGAGCCTTACCCACCTGCTACAGCTAGCCTCTTCAGCCAAGAGACCTCTCCAAAAGAAACCTACTTCCTGTCTGTTTGTCTTTATATAGACTTTCTGTTCTACCTTCTCATTGGTTGTAAAACCAACCACATGACTGCACCGTCACTGTCTGTTGGCTGTATCCTTGAACATACAGAGATCTACCTAGCTCTGCCTACCAAGTGCTGGGATTAAAGGCGTGCACCACCAACTCCCAGCTCTGCTATGGCTTGCTATTAGCTCTGACCCACAGGCAACTTTATTTATTAACATACAAATAAAATCACATTTCAGTACAAATAAAATATCACCATAAAGGAGGGAGGGAAGGAGGGAGGGAGGGAGGGAGGGAGGAAGGGAGGGAGGGAGGCAGGAAAAGAGAAAGAGAGAAAGACAGCAAGCAAGCTTGATGGCCTATGTTCAATCCCAGAATCGACAACCAAGCACGGTCTCATGTCCATACCCTCACACATTCTATTCACACACATACATGCATACATATGACAGTAATATTAATAATTATTATTAAGAAACATCACTCATAATATTTTTGTCATATTATTATTAAATATTTAGCTACAGATACAGAAATTTTGTCCTAACATTGGTAATTTGAATTTCTACAATTTTTTATTATGCATATTAGTAATATGTATTTACTAGTGGAGAGATTATCCTAAAGGAAAGGATATAGTGGTTATATTTCTTCTGGAACACATGAGTGTCATGAAGTATACATATTTATGTGTGTAGTCTTGTGCAAATACGGTTGGAGAGAATTAATTTAATTAAATGGTGCTTGTTAAAAGTGGCCATCATTGAGGAAATCCAGAGAATCATCAGGTCATACTTCAAAAACCTCTATTCCATAAAACTGGAAAACCTAAAAGAAATGGATAACTTTCTGGATAGGTACCACATACCTAAGTTAAATCAAGACCAGATAAACTATTTAAATAGTCCAATAACCCCTAACGAAATAGAAACAGTCATTAAAAGTCTCCCAACCAAAAAAAGCCCAGGACCAGATGGTTTTAGCGCAGAATTCTACCAGATCTTCAAAGAAGAGTTAATACCAATACTCTCTAAATTGTTCCACACAATAGAAACAGAAGGAACATTACCAAACTCCTTCTATGAGGCTACAATTACCCTGATTCCTAAACCAAACAAGGATACAACAAAGAAAGAGAACTACAGACCGATCTCCCTCATGAACATTGATGCAAAAATACTCAATAAAATACTGGCAAACAGACTCCAAGAACACATCAAAACAATTATCCACCATGATCAAGTAGGCTTCATTCCAGGGATGCAAGGGTGGTTCAACATACGAAAGTCCGTCAATGTAATACACCATATAAACAAACTCAAAGAAAAAAACCACATGATCATCTCACTAGACGCAGAAAAGGCATTTGACAAAATCCAACACCCCTTCATGATAAAGGTCTTGGAGCGATCAGGAATACAGGGAACATACCTAAACATAATAAAGGCAATTTACAGCAAGCCAACAGCCAACATCAAATTAAATGGAGAGAAACTCAAAGCAATTCTACTAAAATCAGGAACGAGGCAAGGCTGTCCGCTCTCCCCATACTTATTCAATATAGTACTTGAAGTTCTAGCCAGAGCAATAAGACAACATAAGGAGATTAAGGGGATACAAATTGGAAAGGAAGAAGTCAAGCTTTCCCTATTTGCAGATGACATGATAGTATACTTGAGCGACCCCAAAGATTCCACCAAGGAACTGATACAGCTTATAAACACCTTCAGCAACATAGCAGGATACAAGATCAACTCAAAAAAATCAGTAGCCCTCATATATACAATGGACAAAGAAGCAGAGAAGGAAATCAGAGATACATCACCCTTTACTATAGCCACAAATGACATAAAATACCTTGGGGTAACACTAACCAAGCAAGTGAAGGACCTTTATGACTAGAACTTTAAGTCCCTGGAAAAAGAAATTGAAGAAGATGTCAGAAAATGGAAAGATCTCCCATGCTCATGGATAGGCAGGACTAACATAGTAAAAATGGCAATCTTACCAAAAGCAATCTACAAATTCAATGCAATCCCCATCAAAATACCAACACAATTCTGACCTGAAAAGAATAATACTCAACTTCATATGGAAAAACAAAAAACCCAGGATAGCCAAAAGAATCCTGTACAATAACACAATCTCTGGAGGCATCACGATCCCTGACTTCAAGCTCTACTATAGAGCTACAGTAATAAAAACAGCTTGGTACTGGCATAAAAACCGACATGTGGACCAATGGAATCGAATTGAAGACCCAGACATTAATCCGCACACCTATGAACATATAATTTTTGACAAAGAAGCCAAAAGTGCACAATGGAAAAAAGAAAGCATCTTCAACAAATGGTGCTGGCATAACTGGATATCAACATGTAGAAGGCAGCAAATAGATCCATATCTATCACCGTGCACAAAACTTAAGTCCAAGTGGATCAAGGACCTCAACATAAATCCAGCTACTGTGAACCTGCTAGAAGAGAAAGTAGGAAGTAGTCTTGAATGCATTGGCATAGGAGACCACTTCCTAAATAGAACACCAGTAGCACAGACACTGAGAGAAACAATCAATCAATGGGACCTCTTGAAACTGAGAAGCTTTTGTAGAGCAAAGGATATGGTCAACAAGGCAAAGCGACAGCCTACAGAATGGGAAAAGATCTTCACCAACCCCACATCTGACAGAGGACTGATATCCAGAATATATAAGAAACTCAAGAAATTAGACATCAAAATGCCCAACAGTCCAATTAAGAAATGGGCTATAGAGCTAAACAGAGAATTCCCAACAGAGGAAACTCAAATGGCTGAAAGACATTTAAGGAATTGCTCAACATCCCTAATCATCAGGGAAATGCAAATCAAAACAACTCTGAGATACTACCTTACGCCTGTCAGAATGGCTAAGATCAAAAACACTGAAGACACCTTATGCTGGAGTAGATGTGGAGCTAGGGGAACTCTCCTCCACTGCTGGTGGGAATGCAAGCTTGTACAACCACTTTGGAAATCAATATGGCTTTCTTAGAAAATTGGGAATCAATCTCCCCCAAGATCCAGTTATACCACTCTTGGGCATATACCCAAGGAATGTTCAACCACACCACAAGAGTACTTGTTCAGCTATGTTCATATCACCATTGTTTGTAATAGCCAGAACATGGAAACAACCTAGATGCCCTTCAACTGAAGAATGGATAAACAAAATGTGGTACATATACACAATGGAATACTACTCAGCAGAGAAAAACAATGACATCATGAGGTTTGCAGACAAATGGATGGATCTAGAAAAAAATCATCCTGAGTGAGGTAACCCAGACTCAGAAAGACAAACATGGTATGTACTCACTCATAGGAGGATACTAGATGTGGAACAAGGATGACTGGACTGCTACTCACATCACCAGGGAGGCTACCTGGAAAACAGGACCCTAAGAAAGACACGGGGATCGCCCAATGACGGAGAAATGGATGAGATCTACATGAACAGCCTGGACATGAGTGGGGGTAGTGAAGGGCGAGGGTCAAGGGAAAGAGAGCTTGGGGGAGCAGGAGATCCCAGCTGGATCAACAACAGAGAGGGAGAACAAGGAATAGGAGACCATGGTAAATGAAGACCACATGAGAATAGGAAGAAGCAAAGTGCTAGAGAGGCCCACAGAAATCCACAAAGATACCCCCACAACAGACTGCTGGCAATGGTCGAGAGACAGCCCGAACTGACCTACTCTGGTGATGGGATGGCCAAACACCCTAATTGTCATGCTAGAAACCCCATCCAACTACTGAGGGATCTGGATGCAGAGATCCATGGCTAGGCCCCAGGTGGAGCTCTGGGAGTCCAATTAGCAAGAATAAGGAGGGTTTATATGAGCAAGAATTGTTGAGACCGAGGTTGGATAAAGCACAGGGACAAATAGCCAAATGAATGGAAACACATGACCTATGAACCAATGGCTGAGGGGTCACCAACTGGATCAGACCCTCTGAGTGGGTGAGACAGTTGATTGGCTTGATCTGTTTGTGAGGCATCCAGGCAGTGGGACCGGGTCCTGTGCTCATTGCAGGAGTTGGCTGTTTGAAACCTGGGACTTATGCAGGGTCGCTTGGCTCGGCCTGGGAGGAGGGGACTGGACCTGCCTGGACTGAATCTACCAGGTTGATCTCAGTCCGCAGGGAAGGCTTTGCCCTGGAGGAGGTGGGAATGGGGGTGGGCTGGGGAGAAGGTGAGGGGGGCGGGAGGGGGGGAGAACAAGGGAATCCGTGGCTGATATGTAGAACTGAATTGTATTGCAAAATAAAAATTTAAAAAAATGTGAAAAAAAAGAAAAAATGTATAAAAATAAAAAAGTAGGCGTGGTATGGGCCCTAAACAAATTATCTGATTGAAAGTCTCAGGTGATGGGGGAGATACCACTTAATCACACAGTTTCTTAGCATGCATGAGTCCTTCTGTCTATTACTTTGTTGATATTCATGTAAATTCAAAAAATTAGTATCACAATTTGTCATTGTACTCAGTATGAGAAAAGACATCCTTGAGACAATGCAAACTCTTTAAATTAGTAACAAAAAATTTTTCTATTTAGCAGTCTGTTTTCCTTTAATATCATTGAAACTTCAAAAATTTTTCAACTAATGTGTTTCTCAGATTGATGCTATGTGATATCAAAGGGTTCGTCTTTCCATTAAAAGCTATTTATTTATTTGTAAAAAAAAAAAGTGGCCATGAAAGCTAAGTAATAGAGGCTGGTGGCTGTGACTCAGACAGCAAGGAAAACTGGGAGGAAATTACGATACTTGGCTTTGTGGATTGTTAAAGTCGGAATAATTTCTTTGTTTGTTCTAGGTGTCCTGAAAGCCTTCGGCCTGAAACAGTGAGGCCTTGCTTACTTCCTTGTAGGAAGGATTGTATCGTGACCCCATACAGTGACTGGACGCCATGTCCCTCTTCATGCAGAGAAGGTATGGGGTGTAGATTCTGAAGGCTCTTCACCCAGGACTTCATTCCTCAAGACATTTGACTTCTTCTGGATGAGCAATATTTGTGATTCTTACACAGGGCGTTGTTCTCCTGGCTTTTCATGAATGTCAGAACATTTGGGTTTCTCCCTGGAAATAATACTGAGTTAGAGTTCCTGGGAGGTAGTAAATTTTATGCTAGAGTATGCCTTGAATTTTTATTATATACCTCAAATTGAAATGATTCTAGATTTTATTAATACATCTTATCTTTCATTAATACTGAAAGAATGTATACTGGTCTTGTGAATTTTTAAGAGAGTTTCCAAGTGACCTCAGTACACACGGCTTCTAACCTACTTATAGGCAAGAAATAGCCTGAGACCAAGTTTGCTACAGATTCAATTATGTGGCCCAAGGATAGGAATAAAACAAAGAGAAAAACCGTCGAGTTGACTCCCTGCCAACATTTAATGTGCCATGAGGCATTTCCAAGATGAGTATTTGTTCCCTGCAAAGTTTGGTTTTGCTTTTGTGACTTGCAAAGACTCTTTTTTTTCATGGTCTGTCCCCTGATAAATCTTTCCTTACCCTTCAGGGCATGGTCTTTTAGCATTCCCATTGAGAGAAATTTTCACACCTTCCGAGTGACTTACACAGTAACAGCAAATTTTTTCTCAGTGTGACAGACAGCATAGTCTCCAGTTTTCTCGTTAGCTCTCTCAACCTGTGCATTGTCTTTATGCTTTCCTTATGTTTATGTTCTTGACTCTCACTGGAGATTTGCAATTCAGAGCTAATTTCTAGTTTCATGACTATCTTACCTTGCTAAATGTTATTCTAAACCACTCGATTTTCTGAATGTTTTAATTGATTGTTTTTACAGATTATCCTGTGTATAGTTGAAGCACAAGTTTTGGGAGATTTTCTTAATGAGATAGGACCTAAGTCTGTCGAGCAGTTTTTGCAATCTTCCTTCCTCAATGGGTCAGTTTCCGGGATTAGAGACGCATACCACCATATCTGGAATATTTTCTTTTATGTTTTATAGTACACTGTTAAAATAGTGTATGAAACTAAACTGCTAGCAGAGCAAGAAGAGGTTTTTTTTTATTTCAATGTCTTTTAGAATTCTTAGTAGCCTTGGTGGGGAAAGAGTAGCTGCCATTAGTCTGCTTGTTTTTGAGACAGAGACTTTCAGCCCAGGCTGGCCTTGAACTTACTAAGTAGATGAGGATGATGGTGGACTTTTGATGTTCCTGGCCTCACCAAGGGCTGAGATTACAGATATGTAGCACCATGCCATTTTTTGTTAGTGTGCTCTAGAAGGCTAAGCCCATAGCAAGTCTACCAAGCTATAACCCCAGTTCATATTAGGTTTTGTAAGATTGTTAATGGTTTAATAAACATTAATTTAATTGCAAAAAGAGAAAAATGTTAATGACATGAATTTTCTAAAAAGCAATGACATTTTCTGATTTTTTCAATAGATTTTATAATCTTATTTCTTTATTTTCTTAAAAGCCACATAAAATATGGTTATTATTGGCTTGGTCATTATCAAATAACATACTTTTCTATAAGCTGTGATCTCTGAAGTTTTTGGTGCTGTTCATCACTTCAGTGATAAAGTTTACCTATTATATTACATTACATCACATGACATTGCATGTGAAATCTTGTGTTTTGTTTAGGCTCAGGTTTTGGTTTAGTCTATAATAATGATGATAAGGTCTTACAGGACAGGCACAGCATGCTTGCATGTGCTCACTATGTGGCAAATACTTTAGTTGGCTATATTGGAAACAATCTTTCTGAGAAAGCATTGAGATCACAATAAAATAAAACTTTCTTAGAAAATTTGAACTGAAGATTATTAATTAGCAATTTCCTGGTATGTTTATTATTTTCAGTTCTTCATTAAAAGCACTCATTCATCTTTCACTCTATAATGTTTTTCAAGTTACTACAATGTGTCAGGTTTGATTCCAAATATAAGGTATCAGCAGTCAACAAGCTAATATCCTAGAGGCATGAAATGTATAAGGAAATTTTTTTCGAATCTCTTAATTTGTGTAAATAAAGCATTGTCCCTAAGCATGAGGATCTACAAAATAAAAACAGGGGTAAAGAAGAGAAGTAACTTAACTTTGGAAAATTACAAAGTAAGCAAGCTATGATAGAATATCTAGGCAATATCAAATTTTCATTTAGCCATGCACTTATAAAGAGATTCCTCAATACACTGCTAGTATAACTTAATTCATATTCAGCAACCTGAATGTGCAAAACGTAAAAAAAAAAAATTAGTGGTTTTGAGCAGGGTCAAGACTACTACAAGACAGTGCAAGAGAAAGAGAGGGAGATGGAGCACCAAGTACACTCTTGGGTACTTATAATAATAATGGTCACAACAGAGTGCTAGAAAAAGTGCATTATCAACCCCTGTTGAATCTGAAGAATTTTAATAAGATAAAAAAATTAGATGAACTGTCAAGTTAGGAAAAATGGTCAGTGTATAAAATATTTAAAAATGAAAACATGCAATTCTGATGGTTATAACATGAAGGTCTCAACATAAGACTGAGTAACTGATACAACATAAAAGAGAAGACCATGAAATGAGTGGAGGTATAATAATTGTGAATGCAGTGTCTAGGATGGAATAAACTTGTTGTTGTCGAAGAAATGAAAGTGGTAACAGAAGTGGAAAGAGGATTACAGTGAGGTCAAGGTGACTAATTAGTGAAGCTTCTTGAGGCTGAAAGGTAGATAGATAGTGATGTTAATGTCAGAAGTTTAGGAGAGTTGGTGATTTTTAAAGGTAGAAGGAAGGAGAAAGAATACGAAATTGCTAAATGGAGCTAAGTAGTGTCTGTAAAGGGAAGTATAGAAAATTTCAATTAAGAAATTGAAGATGAAAGATTGGGTATTCCAAATGAATATGTAAATAGATACGTCAGAGGGTGGAGAGGAATGAGAAAATGTAATAGGTTATGTCTGTGGATATTGCTGTGGATCCGAGCAATAATGAAGGAACACTTGGGGTGCTGATCTGGTATAATGTGAGGTATAATGGGTTTAGTTGGATTAATCACTTGGTCAAATATAGGTAATTGTTCTAAATTAAAACTCAGGTTGCCACTAGATGACAGTTCTTTCCAGGATCTGGGATAAGAGTGACCGCTCTGTACAGGGACACCAGCTCAGAAACCTGCTGACATGGAAGCAAGAGGCTCTCTCTCTGGTGATGGAAGATGTAGACAGGACTCTACTTGGGGTGGCAAATGTTCTCTCACCTGCACAGCAAACCAGCTCTACCCCTCTTTAAGTGAAAGCTATATGCTAAATCTCCTAGAAAATATTTTCAAAAACCAGAAAGTTACACTCTTAGATTTAAAAGTAATAACTGTAATTGTGTGTTAAAGACATAAAAGGAGTGGGATTATAGAGGAATAATAGTGGAGGATACTTTGTGCTCTCCAAGAAGCTTTTTCTGCTCCCCTGCTGACTTCTGTAACTGAGCAAGGGGGGGACTGTGGCATTGCAGAAGGGGTAGCCTTTTGCTATGGTGAAGAAAATGAAACAATGGCATGAGGCTAATTTTTCCATTATTTACTTAAGAAATGGTCTAATCCATGTGCTGTTAAAATTGCACTGACGCCGGGTGGTGGTGGCACACGCCTTCAATCCCAGCACTCGGGAGGCAGAGGCAGGAAGAGCTCTGTGAGTTCAAAGCCAGCCTGGGCTACAGAGTGAGTTCCAGGACAGGCCCAAAGCTACACAGAGAAACCCTGTCTCGAAAAACAAAACAAAAAAAATTGCATTGACTTCAGCATATGACTAAAAATTCTAAACACAGTTTTGTGTTCAATAAGAGGAAATGAGAAAAATAATTCAGGAATGTAGTATTTATTTTTAATTTAAAATTTCAGGTAAATCCTAAATTTTATGACTTTTGTATTTATTAGAACTTAGAACTATCCTTCTTCTAAAAATCATTTTAAGGAGGTAAAATTACAGTGTAGTATTGCAGAAAATGGAAATAATTAGGTTTCAAGGAATAATAAAAAGGGAGCATTTGAAATATTATTCATTTCTCTCCCATGATACATCTTGAAAAAGAACCAGTGTTAATAAAGATCAATATTAAGTTGTAGGTAGTTTGGTCCTCAAATGGTTGTATACTAGTTGAATTTTAAAAAATTATTCATGAATTTTGAAAAATGCCACTTTAATTTATAAATAATTTTTGGATAGAATTTGTTACTCTAATTTATAAAAAGTAAGTTCTTGTGATCAAATAATGAATTTAAATGTTCAAGTTCTGTTTGCTCCCCTTTTTTTCACACTGATTGCCTTGAGAGCCAGACAGAATGTTGCAGGAACAGAATTTGCTGCTCAGCCCCTGAATCAATTGTATACTAGAATTACCCCAAAGATCTAAAGATTACCTTCATATCTTACTTCTTGAATCAATATTTACTTTACCAATTCACATATTGCTACTCCAACTGGTCACTCTCCTTTTGACTAGTGTAACAAATAAATTTTACTCTTAATTCCTTCCACAAGTAATTTCTTTGATAAAATATACTTTGAATGTCTTGAGATAACTAAAAAACTACTGAAACAGATTTATAGATTATGTACGTACTTAATTTGTTAACTTACAAAATCAGTTATTTTGCGTGCATAATTCCCTTTTCTTATTCTATCTTACATAGGGATTTCTGAGTAAAAATACAGCACACAGGAGCCTTTATAATTTCGTGCTCATTATTTCTCAATGAAATAAATTGTTTGTTCTTAATTCTCAATATATAGGCTTGTTTGTTCTTAATCACCAATGTACAGGCTTTGGACCTAGTACTTATTTCAGGGAATGGACAGAAACAAACAGAACATGCTAATAAACCATATGAATGGGTGAAAAATAAAAGTTTTCTCATTCAATAAGTATTTATAAAGCACTTCCTATGTGTGGGCAATTTTGTGGATGTTCAGAGAGGTCAGTGGAAACCCTATATGTATTTCCAAATACATTTAATAAGTGGCATAAATACACACAAAACGCTATCAAATCCCAAGCTTACTACCAAAAGTTGTTTGTGAATAATATTCCTTTTTTACCCCCATGGATTCTGTGGGTCCATACCAATTGAGTCCTAAAGTGAATGCACAAGCAAATTCTTAACTATGGTCAGAAGAATCAAGGATGTCCTGATACTCCCTATACAACACCATTAAATTTCCTCTCTGAGTACTATAGCGCTGAAGTACTCCAATGTAATCAGGACACTGCTTTTGTCCTATGGCTACATAAGGTGAAAGATTTTGAATTTAGTATAAGAATAAATGGATTACCACTGTACAGTCAATTAAAGTAGAAAAAATACCCATAGTCTTGATTTCTAGTATACATGTGTATAATTTTAATAAAATTATATCAGAAGAATATTACAGACTTGTATTTCAGATAACATGTGTGTTTCAAAAGTAGAAACAAAGAAAAAAGAAAGGCAGACTGCTGTGGGATGTTCTGTATGGCAAATGTGTTGCTAATTAGTCAATAAATAAAACACTGATTGGCCGTTGGCTAGGCAGGAAGTGTAGGCGGGGCAAGGAGGAGAATAAAGCTGGGAAGTGGAAGGCTGAGTCAGAGAGACACTGCCAGCTGCCACGATGAGAAACATCATGTGAAGATACCGGTAAGCCACGAGCCACGTGGCAAGGTATAGATTAATAGAAATGGGTTAATTTAAGCTGTAAGAACAGTTAGCAAGAAGCCTGCCACGGCCATACAGTTTGTAAGCAAAATAAGCCTCTGTGTTTACTTGGTTGTGTTTGAAAGGCTGTGGGACTGGCAGGTGAGAGAGATTTGTCCTGACTGTGGGCCAGGCAGGAAAACTCTACCTACAAATGGCGTCCAACTTGGTGGCAAGAGTTTCCACCTAAAAACTGAGAAAAAAAGATTCTAAAACGGAGCTAAAAACAGCTTCCTAATTGTCTCTCTCAAATGAGCGGCAGCTGCCTGTTTGAGCTACTGGTGGGTTCCTAGCGTGCGTGCTCGACCTGCAGTATGGCGGGAATGAGGCCTCTGCAAGTGGCACATTAAGCTGCATGGTGGATTTAGCCTTTGCTAGTGCAAAACAAAAAAGGGTTTCTGGGCTACTTGCTGCTTGGATAAAAGCATAGACCCACGATAGCTCCCAGAGCTGGCGGTAAACCACTGCCATGTTGTGAAGCTGAGGTGGGCGGAGCCAGCAGCCACAGCTGCTGCAGTTTAAAGCAAGAGATTCACAATAAGACAGATTCAGATGTAATAGTTTGCAATGTGTGTAAAAGATACGTAGGCTTGAAAGAGACAAAAAAGATGATATATAGAGTTATAGAAACAAATACATAGTTTTAAAAAATAAAGTCTTTAAAGAGACAGTAAAGGTAGTATAAAAAATAAGCCACGTAAAAATGGATATTACACAGAGAATCTGCATTGTGTTGTCTTTGGGACTTTTAACTGCAGAAAAACATTTGATTGTAAAAGCTGTTGAGTTATGCCAAAATGTATATTTTAAAGGTACCTTGACTTCAAAATTTGGATATAAGGATATGTTACTTTGGAAAGGAGACTCTGCTTTTGTTTCCACAGAAAGCCAGAGGCTATGGATTTGTTCCAGATTAAGACACATCAGGTTTGACCAGCCAAGACCCCCTGAAAGGTCTCCGATGACACCATGGCCCAGATGATCCAACATCCAGAATGGTTTGAAGGCATCTGGCTCAGACGATACAGCCTCATGGACTATTCCATAATCCTAAAATTTTCTTTGTTTCCCCATAAGATACAGCGCCCCCCTCCAGCAGGAAGTAGTAAGAGAAGCTACGCCCAAATTCCCAAATTATATGTAATTTTACTTTGTTAAGGTTAAAACCTTCCTTTTTGAAAAAAAAAGGGGAAGTGCTGTGGGATGTTCTGTATGGCAAATGTGTTGCTAATTAGTCAATAAATAAAACACTGATTGGCCGTTGGCTAGGCAGGAAGTGTAGGCGGGGCAAGGAGGAGAATAAAGCTGGGAAGTGGAAGGCTGAGTCAGAGAGACACTGCCAGCTGCCACGATGAGAAACATCATGTGAAGATACCGGTAAGCCACGAGCCACGTGGCAAGGTATAGATTAATAGAAATGGGTTAATTTAAGCTGTAAGAACAGTTAGCAAGAAGCCTGCCACGGCCATACAGTTTGTAAGCAAAATAAGCCTCTGTGTTTACTTGGTTGTGTTTGAAAGGCTGTGGGACTGGCAGGTGAGAGAGATTTGTCCTGACTGTGGGCCAGGCAGGAAAACTCTACCTACAGCAGACATTGGAGCACATGAACTGGAATATCCTTGACTGTGTACCAGGTGACATCTAGACAGTTAATGCTTAGGATCTTCAGTTTATAAGGTTTCATTGATGCTGAGCTCATTGTCTGCTCCAATCCCCAGCCCTTGGCCTTGTTTCTGTGTCAAACTTCCTTATGCAAATCGAGAAAGGTTAGCAAGTGACTTTCTCTAAATATTTTGACCACTTGGGAAACAAAGACCCATATGCTGGTGATCTTTTCCTAATGAAGAAGACAAAGAAATAGAGAGACTGAGGGAGGGAGGGAGGGAAGGAAGAAAGAAAACAAAAAATCCCTCTTCAGATACTAACCAAATGATCAGATGTTTATTTAGTTTACATACTCTTTTTAAAAATATTAAAAATTAATCCTAAGCATATACTAAAATAAAGTAAATATTCAAAATAATAGAATGGTGGAACTAAGTAGTAAAAGGGGAGGGTATGAAGTCAAACTAAGAAAAATACAAATGAGAAAATCAAAGTTAATGTATGCTCCTGTAATGAGAGAAAATTAGCTCTGAGAGTCCAGTGACCAAAATGAAAAACAGGATAATGGATTCTGAAGAGTATCAAGAGAAATGAAAATGCTCCTTGCTTTGAGTTGTTAGAGGCATCTATCACCTGGGCTTGAAGCTAGAAGTCATTTGAACACTATAATAAATAGAAAAGCATTGGTAACACTTCATTTCTACTGACATTTCTTAGATCTTCTCTAGATAAATCATATTAAATATGTAAAATCCAGTCAGAATTCAAATTTATATTGTTACAAAAAAAGTCCACAGTAGTGTTCCCAAATACTTCACTTCCTAGTTGCCAGCAATTTTAGTCCCAAATTCCCTGCTCCATTAACTATGGTATTCCAATTATTCATTAACATAATTATTGTAGTTATAAACATGATTCACAATGGGAATAATCCTTAACAATTCGCAATAATCCAGAATCTTAAATTGGAACAAGGGGCACATAGTCACCCATTCAGTCAATTCTGTGCTCTCCCTTTCCATGACTGTTCATCACATATTCCTGAAAGGCTTTTAAAATAGACTCTTAAACCCTGCTATCAGAAATGGTGACTCAGAAGTCCTGGGTTTGGACTCAGCTGTCTGCTGTTACTGTTCCTGTTTTTAAAGAGGTTATCCAACAGAGTTATTCAGAAATCGCTGGTACCTGATCAGCTCTTCTGTCTAGCACAAGAGTCCTCTCTAAGCATGGCTGCCATTGTTCTCCCACCACTGTGTTAAGGGACACCTTGAGTTCATGAAAAAGGATTCTGTTGTGGGAAATTTTTCACTTTCAAATCATTTTATCTTATAACCACAATAACTTTTTTTCCCTTCTGATTAAACTCTGGTTGTTAAAGGTTGTAAACTTTATAAAGATCCCACTGTCCTGTAGTCTGTGCATGGAATATTTTAATAATCTTGCAAAATAATGTAAATGCATCAGGAATTATATTATCTGCTGACATAATTCTCTACAGAATTCTTTTCTAAGTGAAACTGTACCATGCAGCTATTCACCCTTAAAAGATATGTGTATTGAAAGTTGAAATATCAGAGCTGGTAAATGTGTATATTTATAATCTAAAAAGCAAATTTGAACATTCTTTAATCATTAATACATACTACTGTCAGACTGTTATCTTTCTTGAAGGTAAAGTTCCCCCACCACCAGTTTTTAGAAATCATTTGGAGTTATTTACTTACAGTAATTGCTGCTATTTTTGACACTTACCTAAAAAAAAAGTCTTTCTCTAGGAAACGTCTTTTGTTTCTCTACGTGGAGCATGATACTCAGAGTGTGGCCTGAATTGAAGCTCTTAGGCTGCTTAGCATGAATAATAAATAGCTGGAATAATTTATAAGTTATGAGTTTCAAATTAAGAGAGTAACAAAGAAATAGCAGTATAACACTGACTATATCCTCCTGAGGAAGGTTCACAACAAGTGTATGTGCCCCACATGGCAAACACAGCTACATGAGATGACATGAAAATAAACTTACAGTAACGGGAAGGATTTAATTAGATCTGTCATATTTCTCAAGGGAACAGAAAAATATGAAAGAACAGTGACTTTGTAACTGTACAGTAGAAGGACTGGTTGACTGTGGAATGGTTTCTCTTCATTCTTTATATTTTAAAATATAAAGTGATTTGGTTTTAAATATAAGTGTTCTGTGAGACAATTAGTAATTGATTAGATGAAATAAAGCCTCTCATTCGGACATGTCACAGCACATGTCGCTGGAGGCAGGGGAATTTCTTCAACACCAACTGTTATTGAGAGATTCTAAGTGCAGGTTGGAACGTTGCTTCATTTCAGGGGACTCTGGAACCAGGAAGCAGTCTCGACATCGGGTCATCATTCAGCTACCAGCCAATGGAGGCCGGGACTGCTCAGACCCTTTATATGAAGAAAAGGCTTGTGAGGCCCCTCCCACGTGTTACAGCTACAGGTAAAGGGGGGAAAGAAAGTAGATGGTGCACTGGGTAATTCCTGATCACATCTTTCAAGCTGATATTCCTTCCATCAGCTCAGTAGGCTGTTCAGAATTTTCAAAGAACTTTACTTCTGAAATTACCTCTCCCAAGGCAAATATGTGTGTCAATTTCCCAACTGTGTAGGTAACTCCAGGAGGTGGGGAGAATGTCTTATGTTGATATAAACTATAAGAAATGCAGAAAAAAGTTAACAATTATAAGACACATGTTCCTTAGGAAGGGATTTCTTGTCACAGGGGAATAACCTTGTCTCCAAAGAGCACCTGTTTCTACTAAGTGAGCACTGAGGCTTAGGAAGTGACATTATTCTTTTGTAATGCTAGCGAGATGTCTGTCTGTTCTATTCATCTATTAGCAACTCCAAGAAAGTTGAAGTCATTGAAGCTACACATAACCTGAAATTTTTATTGCAGAAATATGGCCTCCTTGCCAATATTCTCACTGAAGCTTGCTGAAGTGTATCATTGCAGCCCTGACAACAAATGAAACACTATGTACTATGACAATCATTAATGAAATGTGTGATCATAACACGGTAACTTAAGTGGAGATTAGTGGTAAATTGCCATATTAATACATGTATCATTAATTCACAGGTGACAGATGTCATTACTGTGTGTTTACACTGTGAACATTATTGACTATTTGCCCCACATATTGATTTTTGAAATTTGTTTTTGTTACGGGATATTATAATTTCAGTTGCTGTTACCCATGCAGTGATCATCCAAAGCTCATTGTAGAGAACACACTTGGCCTGACTGGAGTTTACTTAGTGGAATGCAACCCTTTTGGGGCCAACTGGGACATCTCTTGGAAGTGTAAATAAGAAGTCCAAATGCTCTCTGTCACTCGGTGAAGCCTGTTTCTACAGAACTTGCCCATCTTGTCTCTTGTGCCATAGGAAGAATTTTATATTTAACAGTGTCTTTAGAAGGGGTTTGTTTGTAGCTAAATTAAACTTAGGAAAAACTTCATGTGGCTAAACAGCCTGCTTTTTGTTAACACTACATTATCTCTGTGATTTGTCCACCACATCTGCTTCTTCTCACTGAGATTTTATTCTTCTCCTGTAGGTGGAAGACACACAAATGGCGCAGGTGTCAATTAGTTCCTTGGAGCATCCAACAGGATGTCCCTGGAGCTCAGGAAGGCTGTGGGCCTGGACGGCAGGCAAGAGGTGGGAGGCTGCACACCAGAGTCGATTTGCTCTGCATTTCTCCAGTATTCTGTCTTATATCCCTCCCATCACTGCCTTGTTGCATTTTGCTTTAATATCAGACTTGGCATACAGAGCAGAGCAGATAGGAACAGCTTTGCCCTGTTCTACAAACACCGGAAAACTTAGTTTTTGAAATTTTGTTCTTTAGAATGAACACATAACTGCTGAGCTCTTCCCTAGTTGATAGGTAGAAGAAAATCAAGTGCAGGTTTTGGTTATGACATAAATAATATTATAACTAAGCATTTTATGTGTTTCTAAATAATACTAATTTATAGCACTCTACTTGACACCTTAACAATCACTGCGATTCATAATCCTTGTTATGCATCATATTTGTCCATGCATACAGTGTAAGGTAACTGCATAGCTTTCCTAGAATTTTCCATGGTGACATTCCTAATATCACAGAGGTTGTCCATGAACCTGATCATACTTGGCACTGGCTTTTAAATGGCATATTTATTTACTCAAAGCTTGCAGTGTGAAGTGAGACATTCTGCACTGCTACAAGACACAGAATCCTGCAGAAGTGCCTGGTGGAAAGTTTTCACATTTGCATTAACTATGTGCTGGATTTTCTAGGAAATAAATCTCAAGGTTTGGAGAACATTGTTCAACCCCATGCACGAAATAGAAAATTTGGTGTTTAGATATTTCATTATTTTTACTTATACAAACTGTCAGTAGTTCTTCCAGAATGTGGGAACAGGTTCTAGCAAGCATGCAGATTAAAAGCTCTAAATTTAGGGTCCAGATGCATTTATTTACCTGAGGATATACAGGAGTTCTCTGAAGGGGTGGATCTTTCTTTGGCTGTTGTGAGTGAGTGGTGTGTGTGTGTGTGTGTGTGTGTGTGTGTGTGTGTGTGTGTGTGCGCGCGCGTGCGCACACGCACATGCGCGTGCGCGCATACATACTGCAGGGAGCTTGTCCATTCCTTGAGACAGCCTGGCACTATCCAAGTGGTGACCTTCCTTGGCTTCTGGGTCTTGAGTTACTCACAGTCACACAATTCTGACCTTATCTTTCATTCTCATCTCCATCATAAACCTTAGAATAAAAGGACTCTGACTAGAGCTGTATTGAACTGAGAGTCACCCTTCCCGTTATAAATTTTTCTTCAAAAAGTTGAGTTAGGCAAAGCCTTATCACTCACTGATAACTCCTCCTTTAAACCAAGTGTGAACTCATGTACATTTCTGATTCTATGCAGAGTTACTAATGATCAGGGGCATAGGTGAGTTTGGAATTCCAGATACATATACAAACTTCAGTTCCAATTCTAGTACAAATGCAAGGTGAGCTTTCCTCATCTAGTCACTCTTCTATGTGGAAAAGAAAAAGTCTGGTAGGATTCTTTCCATTTTAATATATAACCACACACAAATAGTACTCAGAGATCAGTGGTCAGAATATGAAAGGTATATTTTATAGAATACCACTAGAGAAAATGTTGGATAGGATTGTCCTGGCAGGTTTTGTGTCAACTTGACAGAGCTAGAGTCATCTGAGAGGAGGGATCCTTAGTTGAGAAAATGTTTCCATAGATTGGCCTGGAGGCGGGCCTGGAGGCAGGCCTGTAGTACATTTTCTTAATTAGTTATTGATGTGGGAAGACCCAGCCCATTGCATGTGGTGCCATCATGGGCTGGTGGTCCTGGGTTCTATAAGAAAGTGGGATGAGCAAGCCTTGAGGAGCAAACCATTCCTTCATACCGTCTGCATCAGCTCCTGCCTACACATTCCTGGCCTGCTTCAGGTCCTGTCCTGACTTCCTTCAATGAGAAAGGGTGATATGAAATCATAATTCAAATAAACCCTTTCCTTCCTGAGTTGCTTTTAGTCATGGTGTTCCATCACAGCAATAGTAGCCCTAACTAAGACAGGGATGAAAGTGGTATACATGGGAAATGGCTTCATAATTCAAAAACTCTACTATTAAAAGCTGAGCAAACTTGAGTGACTCACTTCCTCCCTTGAGGCTAAAAAGCCTTGCCGAACTGTGCACACATTGTCTTCATTGAAAGATAATTCCTTCCCCTTCCTGTCAGTCCATGGCCCTGATGACTGTGCACAGAATGTCACAGAGCACAGAAGCAACGGTCTGAATGAGGACATCTTGCTGTTTAGACACACTATCTGTGCAGAAATTGATTTTTTATGATGATCGTTGACTTTATCATTTCCAAATCTCATAGACTCTGTTATTTTCTGGTCCTAGTGAGTACTTCTTAATATCTAATACACTTACCCACTTCTTCTGTGAAAAAGGAAGTTGTCTTTGGCCACCTCAATGCCACTTTCTTTTGGTTTTTGAATGTTCATTAGTTGGCTTCCTGTTTGGTGGCTCTTCCTCCCCTAGTCTTCAAGCAATGCTGGCACAGTCTACTCCTGGCACAGTCCCCACAATGCTCACTCTGTCCCAGTAATCTTACGAAATTCAGAAAATCTGGGGGGACAAAGTTGCCTTATAGTAACTGGTTTGTGTATAATTAACTTTAGGATAACAACTTTCATGAAAAAGGATTGCTTGTCTTTATTATTCCAGCCTGTGGAGATTTATTTTTCTTGCCTATGTTCCTATGGGGCATGAGATGGAGAGAAGTATCTTTTGTTCTTGGAAAGAGAGAAATGTTTTCTTACATTGATATTCATGGTTGATTCCAGAACTGTGAATGATTCATTTGTCAGTGTCTCGCTGTCTTTATCGTCGACATCATATGGTCACAGGCAAAATAAAATTAAAGGAAGTGTTTTCCTGTAGTGATTAAAGTAATCATGTTGCATTAATTCAATCAGCAAAGCCTATAGAATGGGCACTTCTGTGTTGTCTAGTATTTCAGACTTTCTAGTCTAGCTACTCATTCATTTGTGACTGCATTGAAGAGGCTGTGCAGAAAGAGCCATGGGTGGTGTGAAAGGATGGGGATATTGACACCAAGGAGCTTGCATTTGTTAGGGAAATGAGAGCATTTACTCTGACCCAACAAATAGGACTTCAACACTAAAAGCAATTGATTGCAAATCTGATCATTTGAAGTTGGAGGAGCAAGAAAGACTTAAAGGAAGGGCTTCTACTTGACTTGTCCCATCTTCCTAGAACAAGCAGAAAGAAGAGTGGAACGTACAAGGCAATCAATTCTATAAGCTAAGCATTTGAGGTAAGAAAAGCAATTAATAAGCTCATAGAAAAGTAGGTAGGTTGAGGTCGCAGAGATGTGAGCTGGAGCCTGGGGAGATTTTGTGGAGACCTATAAATGTCAGGATCAGTGTTTGAGACCATGTTCAATAAGTGAAAAGAGCAAGGCCTGATGAAAGCACCGTTTTATCTGTCAGCATGTGCAGAATAAATTAGAACGATAAGACACTTGGATCCAGCTTCTGGCTAAGATACTGTTGGAACAATAAGAGGCTGAAGCATGTGGCTTAGATGAGAGCCACAGTATGAAAATGGACAGAAATAAATAGATATTGGATTTAAAATAGTGAAGATGTTTGTAGGATTTCACAAAAGAACATAATGGATAATAGAAACACAAGTTAAAGTTGAACCTTGTGCTCCTTAACTTCAATATTTTCAGCTTCATAATAGTTCTGTTGCTGTAAATAATTATTCTGAATGCAGAGCTAATTTGGGAAGTTCTAGTTCATATAATTTGCATAGTATAGTCACCAAGTAGAAAGCACCTACTCTGAAGTTGAAACAGATATGTAACTGTAAAGGTGGCATAGAATGGTAGACGATTATTTGACCAACATTCTATAAGTGATTTGTTGTACTATAGGAAACCTCAAATCTCCAAGATACTGTATATATTTATATATAAACATAGTAGTAATATTTTCTATTACTATATTTCTTTTTTCTCCAGCTTACTCACATCCAACGGTTCTTTAGTTATTTCTTTTAGTATAAAGAATTTAGATTAAAATTAATATTTCTGTAACTTACTAACGTTAGATTAACATTTCCTTCTTTACATCAGAAGTTCATTATATGAATTAAAATATAGTCATTACTATTAAAAACCATGCTAGAACTCTAACAATAGATATAATTAATGTATGGCCTTTATAAAATGATTTGTTTAAACTATGGCCTGTCAACCCCATCCAGCCCACAGCCTGTTCGTTTGTAGTTAACATTGTATTGGAACACAGCCATACCCATTTCTTTATGCACTGCCTATGGCTGCTTTCAAGATACGTGGCAAAGTTCAGTAGCTACAAGAGACACTATATCTCAGAAAGCAAAGTTTATTTACTATCTCAGCTTTACAGAAAAAAATTGACTAACCCCAATCTAAATTGAGAAGCAAATAATCATTGATATAGTTACAACTTCTATTAGTATAATCAATAGCATTAGATAGTCCTACCTTGTCCTTAGCTCGTTTCCAAATTAAGACCATCAGTGAAAAAAAAAAACATTTAAAGTTATGAGATACACAGGCTCCAAAATCTATTATAGTAATAAAATACCTTCTTTAAGAATGAAATAGCAGCATTCTTTTGGAAATATCAGAATACAGCATTGACTTTCTGAACTCCAGCTGTAAAGTTTTTAAAGAAAAAAATAAAGATAAAACCTGAAAATACAGAGTGTGGAAGACAAGAGGCAGAAACTGTTGTAGGGTTTTTCAATTCTTTTCTCTAATGATGAATCATATCACAGCTAGATGTTAATTTCTGGCTTATTCATGATGTATTGCATAGAGAGGAATCAAAGTATTTGTTTTGTGTAATAAATATGCACATCTCAGCACATCACTTGCAAGGTCCTGTTATGGTTCAGTTTTTCTCAGACTTGAGCCTCCACATCACTAGCAGATTATGACACTAGATTCTGTCCCATCTAATAGTCTTTTGTAAAATAAATACATAATCATTAGTGTGCTGTAGTTGCTGTAACAGTATACCACAATGTCAAAGTGCTAAGGAACTCAATTTCTGGT